TCGATAGGAAGCAGCATGCTCATAGTAACCCTCAATGTCAAAAATAGAGACACACTGGTTGAGTGGAGCCCAAGGTACCGTGGGTCTAACCAACTCAGAGAAAGGGAACGAAGCTATAACGCCTAACCCTTACCGTACAGGATTTCAGAAAGTGCGCAAAGTCTAGCATGCACACTTACCACTTATGTGGATTTTAGAAAGTGTGCAAAGTGTTCAACGTGTGCAGGTACCACTATGTGGGTTTCAGAAAGTGCACAGAGCTTAGCGTGTAGACTTACCATAGCATGGATTTAAATTTCCAGGCATCTGATCACAGGTACCCGGAGGTACTGGGCCAAACGGGAGAGGCAAGCTCAAATACGACCCTCTAAGGGGGAGCATTGCCTGAGACAGCATTACACAAGAAGGTTCTCGCAAATGCCACCTATACTTCCCACTCGATGCCTCAGCAAGAGGGGATATACTGGAGCCCGGACATCCAGGAATTTTTTGCAGTGTCCTCAGACCGAGACGGACCAGGACCCCTATGCTGTTCGGGCTTAGACCTGGACCAACGTGAAATGAAGGACTGAAGGCCGCTGAGCGTGCCTTTGCCTCCCTGAACTTCTCGACCACCGTCTCAACGGAGGTAACTAAAAATATTCGGAAGGCGAAACCGACGCATCGAGAAGAAAACCCCTCTCTTCCATCCTGATATCTGCCAGGTTCACCCACAGATGTCTCTCAATACCTACTATAGCTGCCATGCTTAGTAGCACAGAGAGTGAGATCTGTGGTGCGGCGAAACTCAGCTACCTCATCAGGCCTTTATCCAGGTCTTCCAGCAGGTCAGCCTAATATGCCTGGAGCACCGCATTGTGAGCAACGAAGCAACAGCCTGACCTGCTGCTGCGTATTTAAGAGAGGACGCGCACTGCTAATATTACCACGAGAACAGCCCACGGAGCGAACCCGGGTGTTCGATAGGAAGCAGCATGCTCATAGTAACCCTCAATGTCAAAAATAGAGACACACTGGTTGAGTGGAGCCCAAGGTACCGTGGGTCTAACCAACTCAGAGAAAGGGAACGAAGCTATAACGCCTAACCCTTACCGTACAGGATTTCAGAAAGTGCGCAAAGTCTAAGAGCTCATCATACGCAGGGCAGGAGGATTGGGAAGGCTCAGCCTCAGCTTCTTCGCCGTCCTCAGACATATCCTGCTCTTACCGGGCCGAACCCAGCAGAGCACCGGCCCCCGGATCAAACGATGTTAAAGAAATAACATCATCCTCCAGCAGCTTACTCTCATCCACAGCCGACGAGCGCGAGAGGGAAAACCCCTTTTTAAACTCATCAGCTGGATCCACCTGCGATCCCCACGAGCCCATCCTCCTCCGTGCCTCAGCAGCAGTGGGTCCTGAGCCACGGGAAGCAGATGGCTGCCCCCCCTTTCCTCGAAAAGAGTGTGTGTCATCAGGTGTCAAATAACGACGACGCGGATGCACACACCCTCTAAATGCTTTGCTAGTGCTCGCCATAACGATAGGAATATAGATCGCTCTTACCACGGAAATTGCACGCTTCAAACAAAAGGGTCAGTGAAGACGAAAAAGAGAATGACATGTTCTCCCGGCGCCTATTTATACTATAATCGCACCGGTAGTGATTTCATGGGCTGTCGCCGGCCAAGGTGTTGTTGGTGTTTTTTCAATGTATGCTTCAGACACGGGTCACGACGAGGCGTTCCCCATAGCGACCCCTAGAGGACGCAGTTCGAAGTTCCCTTGAAAGGGAACTAGCTTTACTCCTAGTAATAAAAAGTGAACTCTATAAAAGAAGAACAAACATCTACATGTTTATCCAGTTATAGGTCAAAACTATTTGTTAATTATTATTCTTTCACATTGGCTGGAAATTATACAATGTATTTGACCTCAGGTCATTTTTTTACATCACAGTGTGTGAGCCTTCATTCATAGCAATTTACGAATGTAAATCTGCTGAAACACAGTATGAACACTGTGCCTTCATAATGAAGACATAAAACATCATTTAAATGTGATCATCAGGATTTACTCTGTAACTTCCCTTGAAACATATGAATAACTTTTCTGACAGACCATTGAAATAAAGTTTCAGAAAGACACATTTGTTTTTGCTATCACTGACTTGTAGCCTATTGTTTTCATACTGAACTAATTAGCCTAAATTTTTCTATTCCCAGCCCTTAAACACACAAACCTTTTAAACCGAGTAAGACACTATTTAGTGTGTTTTTGAACAATGTATATTCACTTTTTTTTTTTTTGGCATTTTTAGAAACTTTTACAAAATACAATTCAAAATATGCCTGTTTTACACGTTTCGCTATATTTGTACATTTTTAAAACTTAGCACAGGCATGCATAGATAAATGAGCGTGCGCCTGCACACAGAGCAGGATGGTCATTGTGGTTGAGGACTTGAGCAATAGGAGGAGGAACTTCAGGTCGCTCATTTATTGAACGTTTCTTCACATTAGTGCGCACTCAATTGCGCCACACACCACACACTCAGGGAGCGAGACACACGCGGCAGAGCTCTCGATCACAGCGCGCGCAGCCGGATCGTTCCAAATTTCAAAATTCGAATGTAACCGCAGCGGCGGGATGCGACATTATATCCGTCTGTCGGCGCTTTGATCAACGCACTACCCGCAGGATGGAGAGGAAACTTGGCTGAACTTACAGCTGATTTTTCATTTGCTTTACTTCAGACATGGTGAGTGCATCATTTCCTCACTGATCTTGTCTTACGACCCGCTAATATTTCCTGTCTTTATAATATAATGCATTATTTATCCTTCATACTATGAGTTATGTCCTTAGAAAATCTCTTAAAACGAGGAAAGTGCAGCAGGACGCGTTTGTTAACATTTTGAGGAGGTTTAAAGGATGGTTAAAGATGCAGATAGCAGATATCTAAATACATTTAAAAAAAAAAAAGTTTAATTTAGGAACAAAATTGTGTTATAGTGGTATGTCATGGGAGATGCTTTTTATTCTTTTACCTTCCTTGTGCATTAAAAGAAACCTAAACACTGATCTGAAGAACCAATAAAGAAAAATCACAATTTTTTTAGAACCATATAGAAATTCACGAACCCTGTAACCCTCTTTTTAAAAGAGTGCAGATAAAATAAAACAAGGCCTACTGTATACAGTGCATTGAGTGTTTCTGTTTCATGTAAGAAAACAGACACATTTTTATTATTGTTTGTATTCGTATTACATTTTGCATAACACTTCAATCAAACAATATAAAAATGCCTAAGTTTAATCATGCTAGAGTTTGAACTGAATTGAAGATTAAAGTTGAGATTATTCAGTTCATACTCTTAAAAATGAAGATGAGGCTACTGAATAGTCACTAGCTTCAGAACTTTCTGCTATACAAAGAACTATATTTGGCAATCTAGGGTAAAATCAATTTAATAGATAGAAGAATAAAACTAAAAATAGATATAAAAAAAATCTGGATGTATCATTGCAGGTTCTTCAGATCCGTTTAGTTTTTTGCGTACTGGATTCCAAACACAACGTAATAATAATAATTTGCCATTCATAGTTTAGACAAATGTAATAAACTAAACATTTTATGCAAACAGAATTAAAAGTACTATAATTTGAATACAGCTAAAATCAAAGATTTATTTGAAAGTCATTTAGCTGTTAAGTGAGGTAGATTCCTATTTTGTATTTGTAATCATTTGTATTAATGTAGTACCTATTTTTAGACTGAGACTGAAGCATCACACTGACCAAATTCACAAAAGAAAAAAAAATGACGATCTTACGCTATGCAGACTTAAAATATTATAAATGATTGTCTTTTGGGGCCTTTTTCCATCAAAACTAATGTGAAAGTTAAACTTTTTTTGTTGTTGTTGCTTATATCATGGGAAGCTCAGCGTGATTCAAATGCTAACATGATTTGAACTCATTCTTTTGGGTTAAAATGCAGTGAAATATTTTTTCAGATCACTACCCGACCTTTAAACTTCAGTAGTTTTTGACGGGAAAAGGCCCCTTCTATTATTTAACCCCCCCAAAAAAATTAATTAGTGCTATTCAGAATAATTTTCCTAATAGTGTAGACGGTCTTTGAACAGAATACTTTCTGTTATCATTCTTAATTTAATTTATGTACATTGCTTCACTCAGTACAATCACACTTGGTAATGATTTTTATTCTCATGTCTTAGTTTATGCATACGTGTCTATTCACACGAGCAGTTTTCTTTTATGAAATTTGGCTGGTTGAACGAAATCAATGCCGGATTTCACAGCGCTGGACGATTACTCTGAAATCGCTGAGGTGATGTTTAAAGTCAGGAAGCTAATAAGGTAATTTTAGGGTGCCTTGCTAAGCATTTTTCAAAGAGAAGCATTCATCGTCCTCGAGAAGCTCTCACAACCCCCTGCTCAATACATTCACCGCTTTGTTTCACGAGAACGCAGGTCACTGTTGCACAATTCCAAATTATTAACAACCCAGGTCCACAGAAGAGATCAGGAATCGGACACTGAGATCCAAAACCAGTTGCAGATGTACTGATCCTAAACGTCAGTGCTTTCTTTCCCAAATGCAATGATTCTACCACCACCATGACTTTGCAACACCAAAACAAGTCCAAGAATTATTGACTCATGCACGGCAACTCAGCAGATTTTGGTTTTTCTATCATGACGACGATATAACGAATAATATTTCTCATTGCAGAACATACAGTGCAACTATTTTTGTCTTTGGTAACTTTGTGATTACTTTGAAAAACATTGTAATATGATGAACTTTTATCTGGTGTTGGTGTTTGGTGCAATTCCTCTTTAAAAGAACCAAATTCAGTTCAGTACCACTGGATTCAATCAAATCCAGTTGAAGTGGCCACTTTCCAGCCTGTTCACACTTTATCACAAAAAATGAATTAGTAAAACTGAACCCCTCTGCATTTGCATTCACATTTCACATGCTTTGAAAATGGAGTCAGATCTCTTATTCTCTGTGTCTCAATGTAGATTTTGAGGATGTGCAGTAGCATGCAGATATGTTTTATTAATTTAATCAAAGCCTTTTGTGGATATGTCAGATCACAGATTAATTAGACTGAAATCAGACATAAATGCAGACTTATTTCAATTATTTTCAGAAAATGTTAGACGCACATCAAAGTTCATGTGCACAGGGGCAAGTTTGATTTAACGCTCTCGTTTTCAGTGTATAATAACATCAGGTCCCATTCTGAGCTCTCTTTTCGTCATGGTTCTGATTACTAACCCTAATAAATTGTGAATAAGCTGCACAATTCCTGCTCAAGGAGGCAAAGCGAGGCCCGAGTTCCCCATCCTGAGACGCCCCCTCTTAAGAAAACACGAATTAATTCCTAAAGTCCTCTGTAGCCAAAGGTTTCTGGAATGATAAATATTTTCATAGGAAGCACGGCTCTTCCTGAGTTTATCGGTGCTTGGTTCATTACGGCCCGGCCGACGTTAACCCCTCGGTTTTAGGGTGAGGCTGGAGGCCTTGAACTCCGCTTCTGCTTTGAATTGTCAACCGATCCTCTGCTTCCAGATGGAAGATAACCTCGCGCGTAATGAGCAAAATATTTAGCTAGCGCCCATAGAGGGATTCCCAAAGTCTCGTGAGTCTTACGCAACTGAATGTGATCAGTAGCGAAGAGCTGTTGTCACAGTTAACACTTTGCCACATCATCAGACAGACGCGAGTCGCGACTGTGGCTCGGAGTCAAGGCCAAGGAATTTTTCACTGCTCAGGATTAAAGGTATTAGGGCTGTCAAAATGGCTGAAAAACTAAATTCAAATTTTGTACTTAAATATTATCAAAATTCGAATTATATTCAAATTTAAAATGCATAATTTTAAGTTAAGGTGAAGAAAAGCTGTTGGCTTCTCTTCTGAGGCCACAAGAGGGCGCACCGAGCAAAATATTACTAATGCACGTTTAATCAAATCATAAGATAACATGACTAACTGTGGAAAAAAGTGCTAATGTTTCAAATAATGTTTATAAACCAATTATGATTAATTAAGTTGCTTAAACAACTATAAACAAAACATCATCACGTATGTATGCATAGTTAATCACACAGAGTATTCATTTCCAAACATGTGGCTCTTTTGTGCGAGACATGAGTGCAACGGTGATAGATGCCCCTCTAGAGAATGCGCGAAATATGCGTTCTGTGTGAACGGCTTGGTTTCAGTTTTGGCTTCTCCGCATTGATGTTTTCTTTTTACGCAATATTTTTAATGAACAACGCAGCAGTGCCGCATCTAATGGCTTCAACTGGACAGGATAACAAATAAATTTTAACGCAACGACACTTACATCGTCATCGCATCTCGTGCGCCGCTGATAAGGCTGCCTCCTTAACGCACACCTAAAATTCGAATGCAACGTTTTTGCATTCTAATGTGGATTTTTATTTTAAATTCGACGAATATTTTAAATTCGGAAAAAAATTTGACAGCCCTAAAATGTATGAAAAGCCTATAATGCAAATATAGGAAAAGAAGCTTTCTGAACAAACATGGATTTTAGTAGTGCAACATTCTTAATAACACTAATAGCAACAAGGCAAGCATCACTACTATTATTGATCATACTTGGAGAAATATTTGCTCTGAATTTCTAGTCGGTCTTTTCCCAAAACAACTGTTGATTTGAGTGTACAGGAATGCTTTAGCAGCACAGTTACAGTCAGAGGCCCGACGACAGCGAGCTGAACTTCACATAAACTCCTCGCTTTGATCAGACGACGCTCTAACAGTCTTTGATCGCAACCAAACTTCCTTTTGTAAAGCGAACATGCGAAATGTGGTCAAATGTTGAATGTTTTGGGTGATTTGCATTACTTTCGAAGGTTTAAACACTGATTGTTGATCATATTTGGCTTTCCAGACAATACATATCAGAGAATTTTAAAATTGTGATCTGGAGGTCCTTTCTATAGTGAGCATTATTATTTTATGAACTGTATATAGAAAAACAAGATCAAAAGGTATATATAAAACAACAAGATCAAAAAACATTTATTTTTTTGGTTTCTGAGTACCTGTGTCACGTTACTGAGGTGTTGCTATGGAGTAGCTATGGTGATCTAGGTGGTTGCTAGGTGGTTGCTTACTGCTGTAAGTGAAAAGTCTCTGATATTTTCATCTTGGGCCCAACTTCATTGTAAGTCTGTGGGATTTTCCACATCATTTAATTTGTTCAGATCATTAACCAAAGATATGATCAACACTAATAGTGATGCTTGACTTAACAAATGAGAGAATATAGTGTGGAGAGATTCTGTATGTTAATGTGAGTAGGAAGCAACACAGCTTTGTAGTTCCCTTTCAGTCTGTCACACACACACACACACACACACGCACACACACACACACACACACGCACACACACACACACAGTCATCCAAACCCCTCCTTTTCCCTACAGTCTCATTCTTTTCACCAAACAGCAGCTGGTTCTTCAGCTATTGCCAATCTTTAGTCCTTATCTTATATCTTAACACACACACACACACACAGCCAGTGTCACATGCGTCACTGTCATAAAGCAAAGTGCTGAGTGTGTGTGATCCAATGCATTAAATAATTTGCAAATGAAAGGTGCTTTATCTTATTATTTTCCTGTTTTTATTTAGAAATTGATGGATGCAAACCAAAAAATAACATTCATGCAAGAAATGAAGGCT